ACTGGGGTCCAAGCCTGCCTCCACCACCTGCCCGGGTGTGTGATGGCAGACAAGCCACTTAGCTGCTCGACACCGGTTCCTCATCTTTAAGAGGGAAAACTGCCACCATCGGCTGCTGAAGGATTGAGAGAACGCAGGCAAAGCACTGGGCGTGCAGCGAGCACTTGCTGCAGGGGGTAGTAACAGTGGTTTGCCCTGAGGTTGAGTGGGTAGAGGATTCGATGAATCGGCTCTGGAAAGTCTGTGTGATTCTTGAGCAGGGAGTGGGCTTCCATTGACATGGGCTTTAGGAAGGTGAATCCGACTGGTCTGCAGCGTTGATGAAGGGAAGAGTCTGAAGACGGGCTCTGGCAGGAGGCTGAAGAGTCATCTTGGCTTGATTGTTTGAGGAACTGAATTAGGAAGGTGTAGTGAAAACCGAGGGAAGGGGAGTGTGGGTGGAGGGGAGAATCTGCAGGAGCGTCGTGTAGAGCTGGTGGCTTCCTATGGAGTTGGAAAGACAAATGGGATTAGTCCAGGTGATCCCCAAAGTTTGAGTTGTAGAAGCTGGGTGAGCCAGTGGCAGAAAGGGGGACACCCATCCCTTAGTTGGGGGAAAGTTGAGGTAGTCAAGGCCCCAAGAAGGCAGGGACTTTGCCTGTGTTCTCCTTACGTCCTCAGCACGGGAACAGTAGTAACTCACAGACAGCAGAGGCCCAGAGAGTATTTTTTAATAGATAGATAGATAGATAGATAGATAGATAGATAGATAGGGAGATAGGGAGATAGATAGAGAACAGTGTGCACCTACAAGTAAAATAAACTCTAAACAATAATATGAAGTCAATAGTTTTTATATTGTGAACTACAAATAACCCTTTAGTGGAAATTATACAAAGGCCCATGTTTAATCTCTGAAGACAGATATCTGTTTCTCAAGGAAAAATAGAAAACAGTTCATCCAGTAGAAAGTAGTAACTTGAAACTCGAACACTGATACAAAGGGAATATTGTAATTCAGAGAACATAAAATAAACATATTTAAAGTGGGGGTGAGGGGACCTGTTCCGGTTCATATTGTTTTATCCCTTCCATCCTGGGAACAAAGAATAAAAGAAAAGGATAAAAGGAACCCCTTGCTTGCTTGTTAGAAGAAGAAAGCTTGCACTTGAAGTTCCTACCGGGCAGATGTCTGTTGAAAGCTGTGCTTATGGAAGATGCTGCCGTGTCAAACTCTGTTGGGTGATTTTAGACGAATGTGTCATGTGCGACATGGAAATGTGGCGTGCTGCACATTAGGGATTTCCCGAGTGCTCGCATCAGGCAGTGACGTGCCGCGAAAGGGCTCTTTATCTAGCCACACGGTGTGCGTGTAGAGCAGTGGGGAAATGCTTTGGGTGGAAATTACTTTAGTCAGAAAAAGAATCCATTTACAGTGTGCGCCTTCAAACATCTTTCAGACAATGCATTATATTAAAGAGGCATTTTTTGATTAATGTTTTATAAACATTTTTCAGCATGACAGCTTAAAGTCCCTGTAAAATTGTAAATGCATGCCTAGTGTTCACTTCCATAAAGTCGGATGCCACCTCATAAAGTCTCGTTGGCTCCTGTCAGCCATGGTGACACAGAATCAGTACCTGGGTGCATTAAAATTAATTTCCTTCATTTATATTACTGCAGTGATGGCGAGATGAAAAGAGTCCTATATTTAAATTTTACTTTTAAAAGAAAACTCTTTCTAGCGAGTTTGTTTTTTTTAAATCATTGCGCTTTTTTACCTAGTTAGTGAATGTAATAAACATGGAGTCATAGTACAGTAACGTTATGATGGGATCTGGAAGAATACAAACCCATCCATTCAGCGCACTCCTCTTGAGCACCTACTGGATGCTCAGAGCTGAAGAAGAAATGGTCTCAGACCCTAAGAAGCTGAGCTCAGTGAGGAAAACACACAACGATACCAAGTGCTGGGACCCTGGGCTGAGATGAGCCCCAGGTTTGGTGAGCACAGAGCTAGAAGCCAGCCTTGGATGCAGCTTAAGAACGAAGGGCTGAAAGATTGAGCCAGTCAAGAAGTGGGTGATGGACATTCCAGGCAAAAGGAGCTCAAGTGCGAAGGCCCACAGGCGGGACAGGGCGTGGGAATGGCGCATGGCTGGGCTGGTGACGAAGGACTCACAGGGGCTCCTCATGGCTGAGCACAGAGGCAGGAGAAGGGAGGGGTGAGACACAGAGGGAGTGGGGGCCAGTCAGAAGGTCTCGTCCCGCATGATAAACGCCTGCCTGACGTGACATGATCAGATTGTGCTCAACGGCGGTCACTGGTGCAGAGTGGAAGATGGCGTGGACAGGACAGCCTGTCTGGAGGTGGTGTGGGAAGTCCAGCACAGGCAGGAGAGACCTTCCTCCCGGTGAGGTGGAGGGTGGATTCGGGTCCACAGAAGGTAGAGGTCACTGTACCCTGGAAGCTTCTTGAGGGTAAGGACGTGGCTCGTCTCGGTCTCTCTCTCCAGGGTGGTCCCCACAGTCGCTTAGTCCCTCATCCACATGAAGTCACAGGAGCCCCTTAAGGAGAATGAGCCCACAAGGACTTCTGCCTGGAAAGCTTTCTGCACACCAGGCCCTGTTCTGCTTTGAGGAGTTGCAGTCCCCATGGCGTCTGAACTGAAGACCTTGGCATCTCCCCTGACATGGGGAACAAGTTGCCTGCGTGGCAGTTCCGACGTCACCATGGGGAAAGTTTCCGTTTCCTCACTAGGAAAACGGTGCACAGGGTAGTTTTCATCAGCCTCCGGGTTACTGCCAGGCCTAGTTCAGTTAATGTGGGAAAGCGCGAGACGGACAGCGCATGGCATCTAGTAAGCGCTCAGTACCCGAGAACCATTTTCACCCTTAGCATTGCTGTCTCTCTACCTTATCCGTCACATCCAGGTGGATTTCTGATGTCTCGGACACTAGGACACCTTGTATGTCTTGCGGTCGGTTTCCTGTTGACTTACGGTAGCAGCAGCCGCCTGACTGTCTCCCTGGCTTCCCTTCTGTGCCCAGTGACTCTGAGCCCGAGGCTTAGCCAAGAAAGGACACCTCAGGCGTTTTAGCCCAGCAGCCACAGTCCTCGAATTTGGGGTCAGAAACCCTGCTCTGATCACCTTTAGAGGCAAATATCCCCATATTTCATGTACTCCCTGGAGCCCCACCTTTCCTTCACCCCCATCCCCAGCTTCTCAGCATCATTCCTTTGGATCAAGTCATTCTTCCTGAAAACAGGGTGGGTGTGTTCACATCATCTCCTTTTCTCATTGGAATGACTTTCCAATGTCAGATGTGGCTTTTCAACTGTGAACGGATTGAGCATATTGTTTTTTAAAAGAAACCTTTGACTTTTCTATCGGCAAGAAGACAGAAACTGTGCAAAAACCTCAACCTGTGCTTTTGAAGCTCTGAGGGATGTTGTTGGGAAGAGTAGAGTGTTTTCCGTTACGGCAATGACATGTGAGGCTAGGAGAAAGAAGCAGCCATGAAAATGCATGTTTAGTAAAGGTGTGAAACTTACCAGAAGTACAAATAATTGAAAACGTGGAGCTTTCCCTCACTGGGTTATAATAAAAGGTGATTTCTGTGCCCTCACTGTGCATGCTTGGGAGCTGGGGTCCTTTTCAGAAGCTATTCTAAGGAAACGAGGAGAAAGCTAAGCTATTACAGCGATTCAGGTGACAGAGCTGACACACGTACACACCAGTCCTGACCACCGGGCCGTATTAAAACCATTGGTAATAACAGTTCAACTGCCAGTGTCTGGATTGTGTTATGGAAGCTTAATAGATACACACTATAGTCAGCTGCTTACAAAATATGCACACCGTGCCCTTGGTGCAATAGAGTGTAGACTCGGGAAGTAGTAGTCATGTACCTGAACTCCATTAAAACTTTCAATGTGGGTTTAAACAGTCAGCACTAGTCTTAGAGTTCGCCTGCCATACGCAGTGTTGTATAACATGCCTGAGACCCTTGGCCAAATGAGAACATGCAAAGCCTTTGTTAATGTTGATTTGGCTAAAGTACCCTCCTCCTTACAGCAGTTTATACCATACATTATCTGACCATATCCTTCCAGCTCTCAAAAGTGAACTTTGGGGCTTTGAAATGGTGCCAGGAAGGCCTCTCTATTCCACGACTAAGCAAGAAAGGATCTATTTTGAACTTTGGCCTCTCTGGGATTTAGCCTTCCTGAAGCAACTCTATTCCATGCTATCTCCTCCCCTCTCCTTGGTAGACAGGCTGCTCATGCAGCAAGAGTTATTGGTGCCCTCAAATACCGAGCACCTTTTGAGCTTTCATTGGTTCCAGGTAGAGCTCAGAGCTTATGTAGTGAAAGAGGATGCACCGACTCGGTGACTCACTTGAGACCTTCCCTTTCCGGTCCTGTGAACCCCCCGGGAAATGTGGCCATGACCTAGTCCAGTGATGTCGAACCTATGACACGCGTGTCAGAGGTGACACACGAACTCATTTTTTTGGTTGATTTTTCTTTGTTAAATGGCATTTAAATATATAAAATAAATATCAAAAATATAAATCTTTGCTCTGGCTGGTTTGGCTCAGTGGATAGAGCATCAGCCTGCGGACTGAGGGGTCCCAGGTTCGATTCCGGCCAAGGGCATGTACCTTGGTTGCTGGCAGATCTCCAGTGGGGGGTGTGCAGGAGGCGGCTGGTCGATGTTTCTCTCTCATCGATGTTTCTAACTCTCTATCCCTCTCCCTTCCTCTCTGTAAGAAATCAATAAAATATATTTAAAAATGTATATATATAAATCTTTGTTTTACTATGGTTGCACATATCAAAAAATTTCTATATGTGACACGGCACCAGAGTTAAGTTAGGGTTTTTCAAAATGCTGACACTCCGAGTTCAAAAAGTTCGCCATCACTGACCTATTCCAAGTTCCAGTTTAACGGAGAAGGTCCTTAATTGACGACAGACTGAATGTGCCTCTCGGTTTCCTCTCTTTGTCCGCCAGGAATCCCGATGCTGAAGATCGTGTTCGCGGGCCACGAGCACCTCTCCTTGATCTCCGTCCCTCTGCTCATCTACCACCCGGTGCAGATCCTCCTGGGCAGCGTGCTGGTGCCCACGATAAAGTCGTGGATGGTGTCGCGGCAGAAGGTGGGACTCCGGACAGATCTTACTTGGATCGGAATCAGATTGAAATGCTGTTTCTGAATGTTAGCTGTTCACACACTGCGTGTTCTCATTCTCAGGGGACATATTTCCTTAAGTAAATCCAACAATGATGCATGGATCCACTTCAGTGTGAGCAGGAGGGTTGAGGTTAAATGTTTTGAATGGTTGTAAAAGTACAATTATACTTAAAATGCAGCTTGTAAAGCTCCTTTTCATTTGCTCATACTGAAGGGCATGGTGCAATGGGGTGAATGTTCAGTAAATAGACTCAAAGCACATGTGACCCGTGAGCCAGCCAGCAGCCGGCTCTGCCTCTGCTCACTGGTGACCTGGGGCACATCACTCCTCTGCCCCTCAGTGTCTGCCACTCGAGGGCTGACGCTGACATCTCCTCCTCGGAGTTGTGGGGGAGCATGTGGCAGGTGTCTGACAAAAGCTAGCTGCTGTGGTTTTCTTTGCTGTCACTGTTGTCCATTAGTGTCTGCAACACTGTTTGCAGCAGCTCCGCTGCCCCCACTGTACAGGTTGGGGAATAGGCTCAGAGAGGGAGCAACTTGCCCCAGGCCACGTGGGTGCTTTAGTCCATGTTAGAGTTAGGACTTGAACCCTGGTCTCTTTGGCCCCCAAAACCGTTCCCCTGCACCATGAGGGCACTCCGGACAGAAATACACATTGCTTTTCGAAGGAGCACCCCAGGTCCCCAGGATCCTCCCTGGAAAGATTAACGCATCCAACACCGTCGCTCATTTAGTTACTTAACAAAGTATTAGTGAGTGCCACTCTGTGCTGGACTCCAGGCCTGGTCCTCCCCTCAGGGTTGGTAGAGGGGCATGTTAGTACCTTATTCTTTACTGTTTACCTATTTTGAAAACTTTCAGGTATACTTATGTTTATGTTTATCAATGTACGTGTGCATTATAGACCAGAATTTCTACATATAAATTTTGAAAGAGAATGAAGAAAGTTATCCGAAAATCCTGATGCCCTAATAATGATATACAGCCATAGCAAACGGCAAATTAATCAGAGTGAAACTTTCTAAATGTTTCAAAGCTCTGGCATTTGTTCTGCAGATAAGAAGCATTTCCAAGGGGGAGACGACATTGGACAGTGCTGTTCATCTTCTCACACTGGGGCCACTGTCTAACTTAGAATAACCCAGAGGCTTAGGATGTCATCCCTCCCATTTGAGCATCAAAACAAACACAAAGCACCCATCCCAAGGGTATGCACAATTGCCCTGCAGACAATACCATTGAGACCTGCAGCCAACTCCAGTGCACAGGGGGCTGTGTGAGTGGCCAGGCCAGGCTGGGGAGGTGACAGTCTGCAGGCCAGGGTGGTAGCGGTTGATGTCTGTGTCACAGAGGTTTGGGTCACTGGTTACCTAGTGCTATCTGGGTGGGCCTCTTCCTTCTCGTAGCATCGATGATCTGGTGTTTATTGACACTTCCACTCGGCTCATGGATGCTGTCCAACTCTGAACTGCATGTTCTCCTCTCTTGCAGGGAGTGAAGTTGATGAGACCAATCGTATAGCGCTGGAGGTGCCCGGCCTGCGGCGATGTACATATGTACAGGGTTGTGCACAGTCCTGAGACTCGTACTTGTGAATGTTGCTTCAATGCATATTTTATTTTTTTACACACAGAAAATGATATAACTGTTGAAGTGCCTTAAAAATGTATTTGACAAGAGCGTTGTTTCCAAAACCAACTTTGTTGGTTACTGCCAGGGGTGGTGCAGTATTTTGGAGTTATTTCTTTTCCTAACGCAGGGAACAGTCATCGTAAGTGACAAAAGCCCCAGCTTTGTGCATACAACTCTGTCATGGTTACTGTACTGTTCGAAAGGAGGTCGTACCATCAGAGAAATGCCCTTCTGAAGACGGGGACTACTTCCAAAGTCTTACTCACAGTACTTTGATTTACTGTGTGATCTTCTACAACTGTGACATGCCTCTTATCAACTCCACAGGAGTCATAGACTGAAAAGCATAATTTATCTGCATTCCTTGACATCATTTTTTTAGACATTCCTTCAAATAGTTTCCACACAGAAATTCCTCTGTGCCATGATCAGAAATTGTGATAGTATGTGTCTTAAATTTACTATAAGCTGCTTCAAAGAAAAGACCTGATGGTTGAGTTATGAGTCAATTAAGTGACATTTTGAGGAAAACTACAAGATGTGGTTTTCAGGATTTTCAAAATCATAGATGTTTCATTTTTCTTCCAATTTAATTTCTTTCCTATTTTCCAACACACTCGCAAACTCATAACAGCCAAATGTGAGACACAAAAATGTTATCAGTTTGAGAGCATCAGCGATTAATGATGGACTATATTCACGTTCCACAATTGAGAAAAACTTTTCCTGTTACATAAATGTGCTGAGCACAAATCACCCCTGTTAGCCAGAAGCAGCCTGTTACATCCTTGAATTAAGCATACTTACGGCATTTGAGACAAGTTATAAATGAAAATTTCCTTGGCAGACTTGACAAATGATTGCGACATTTAAAAAAATTTAAATCAGATTGCTGTTATGAATAAATGGAAATATGAAGGTCATAGATGCAAACAGATGTTACAGGTACACATTCCTTCTACCCAAATTAGAAAAAAAAAATGGGCACAGAAAATGCAAAACCATTTATTGGCCAAATTATTAAGTAAAATTCATTCCCAACTGGGCTTCAGCTTTCAAAACAGTGTTGAATATTTTCACACGCCTCTGCGAGTGAAGAGCATTCAGTGGACCCAAAGAGAGAATAGAGCAATATATAAAGTCAGGGGAACACTCTGCTTCCCGCACATCCTCTGTGACATCCTCCCCATGTGTCTTTCTTGATTTGACAGACAAGATCGGCGCCTGGGTCACACCGGGGCCACACTGTCCTCGGCAGCTGTCTTGTTGTTTTGTCAACAAAAGAAAAACCATTCCTTAGAAACCTATCAAGTTTATCAATAGTGTGACTTTGTATTCTTGTTACTACCAGGTCTCATCTCCTGTGGGCTTCTGACTCATTTCAACATCACTGGATTTCACAAATTTCAGAACAGTTATCCTCAGTGTCCATTTTAAAGCCAGTGCCAGACCTTGCATAAAACTATGCTAAATGGGCTATTTGTCAAGAATTTTCATTGTCGAGACTTTTGCTTGTAATTTTGTTTGATACTTTGGATGCTTACAAATGGAGCTCAGAAAGGTTTTTGTGTTCTGTTCCTATAAACTTCTTTAAAGTTCAGAGTAAATGAAATTGAGTTACAATAAAAGCTAGCATTAGAATACTGTTTTTCCCCCCAACTTATCTACCTCTCTTGTCAAACACCTATAGTAGGTGTGTGATTATGGGATAAAAAATATTCAACTGAAAATACTATAACATCTTTTGCTTTTTAAAAAAAAGTCTTTTTTTTAAATAATCTACATGGTGAATTTTGGTGGCTTTAGTGATATGTTTATGCCTATTTTTTTTACACAAATGCTGTGGCATATTTTTCCATAAAGGAAAAACAGAATTAAAATTTATTTTTAATTCATGTTTATTGGGATTTAATTATTCATGTCTGAAAATACTTTATGTTTATGTACTGTCAAGCTATCGATCTATGCATTTGTTTTGTCTAAGTGTATTTATGAAAGAAATAATTAGATTATATTTATGTTTACCCATTTTTCCACCTGGATTTTTTTAATGGCTGTTATGAAATTTGATTATTTTAGTTGGTGATAATGTTCATCTATTCATATGTTCTTTTCTAAGTTTTAAATTCTTTGTGGGTTTTTTCAAGTTCTTTCCTATTCTGTTTGAAATTAACACACCTCTGGCTAATGTTCAGTGTTTGTTTATGCTAAATACCAAATTTTTTCAAAAGGATTGGTAAAATAATGAAGTGGATTATTTATGATGAATGGAAGATGAAAAGGATTCTATGATTAAACAAAGAAATGTTTTAGAAATCACAAGAGAACCTGTGTCTTATTTTTAGCCTGATTTCAGATGCACTCACAATGCCTTCTGAGAACCTACAGATTTCTCTTGAGTCACCCAAATACTATTGCATCATTTGTGGTGAAAGAGACACAAGCTCCACCATCTTCCCAGGTTTCCATCTCAGTACTTTCTCCACACCATAACTTTAAAGCCAGAAACAGCCCTGGCTTTTGTATCAGAAATATATGTGTTCTCTGCGTTGGAATTGAGGACCGAAAGAGAAACATACCCAACAATAGTGGTAGATTTTAGGTGATCTGAATGCTTGTTATTCTTGTTATTCTTTTGAGAGATAGAAAAGATGAGACCTTAGAATGCCTTTTCCAAGCCCCATGTTTCCTTATGAGCAAGCTACTTTGAATCCCATGCCTCCATGCTCTTCATTTGCTGAGCTTGGTTAGCAGTCTCTTCTCCCTGAGGGGCTGACAGAAGGGTCACCTGCCCCACCCGGCTTTCCTGTTCCCACCAGGGCAAGGCTGGCCCCCGTGATGTGCCCTTGGAAGATGCCTCCGGTCTTCTCAAACCTTTGCATCGTCTGATTGTTACTTTAGGTTTCTGTCTCCTCCAACACAGTCTTCATCTCCATTTTCCTTCTGTGCCTGACACAGTGCCTGGCTCGGAGTAGCAGCCACAAAAATGTGTATTGATTTTCCAAATTGTGATCTTAATAGCTAGGTCCTCACCTTCAAAATTTTGAGAGCTCTTATGATAGACTCCCTTTGAGCTAGTTGTTTACCTTGGCTATATACCAAAAGTGAGATTGCTGGATTATGGACGTTCTATTTTTAATTTCATGAGGATCCCCCATACTGTTTTTCCATAATGACTCTTTCTGTAGTGCTAAACTGCACCCCCCCAAAAAAGCCTTTAGTCAAAATCTGCTTTACGCCGAAGCTTTCTGTTTATTTGGGGGGAAATAAAATAAAAGGTTCAACATCCACCAAAAGATGCTATAGATGAGATAAAAGAAAACATTCCAGTAATAAAGACACCAAATCATAAGTGGGGATTTTTATAGGAGATGATGAGAAGAATGGATGCTCTTAGAAATCTTGGAGGAGCATAGAATTTGCTCTTAAACCATTACATCCAGATATACATTAAGATGCGCTCAGATGTGAGAGATTGCAACACTAGCAGCTGATATTCACTGCTCCGTGGGGTACACAGGCCCACCCCGGCGATGCCAAGCTATCAGCATGCTGTTCCTCAGGCTGGTGTCAGGAGGGGTGCTTGGGAGGGCTCTCCCGGGATGAGGTGGCCGAGCCCAGCATGCTTCGCACCACGGGCCATACTAGGTTCCTCACCCAGACTTTGCATTTGACTCTTGCAGCCACCCTAGGAGATGTACATTGCCGTCCCCACTGTGTAGGTAAGGAGACTAAGGCCAGAGAGACAAACAGTGGTTGCAGGCCTCACAGCTCCTAGGTGAGTGGGGATTTCAACTCAGATTTTCCTGACTCTGGAGCCCACACAACTAACCACTAAGCAGACTCCTCCACAACCCTAGACTTCTGGAAACTAGCCTGATCCTAAACTCTGAAATCTGCCACCAAGGTTGATAAAGGATGTTGTTCTCTCCTTATGTGGAGTGAATCAAAGCCGCCTCACCCCACCTCAGAAATTCCAGACAATCGGAGGAAGTCCCAGGGTTCCTGCAGACACGAGGCCTCCGAGCCCACGGAAGGGAAGGCGGCACACGAGGACGTGGGTCCTGGCCTCAGCCCTGTTCCTGCCTCTTCCAGACGTGAAGTCCTGCAGCCGGGCCGTCTGTGCTCGAGTCCGCGCTCACTGCTGAAGTCCTGGGGTCTGGGTCCACGTGTGGCCCTTGGAGTCCTAGGCGGGCTTTGCCAGCGTGGCTAGAACCCAACTATATTTTTCCACCAGGACTTCCTGCCCCGGGACCCCCTGCTGTTACCACCTCCTGGGCAGCCATTCTGACAGTCCCTTCCCTCTCCCCTCCAGCAGTCCTCCAGCTCCAGCCCTAAGAATCCCCGTGTGCAAGGAAGACAGCGCAAGATCGCGTGTGTATAGCTCGCTTCTCTGCTCACGAAGCCAAATCGAGAATTGAGTAGCATCATAGGTTTGTTATTGGGGTCGAATGAGAGAACCCCTGCGAACACTTTGTCACAGTGCCTGGCACTGGTAAAGCCCCGTACGCGGCGGCTACTCTTGCTGTTGAGCGCGGATGGGGGGCGGGTAAACCGAATTGACGTGTGGCCTCAGACACGTGGAGCCTGGCGTGAGGCTCTGTGCTGCCCGCCTTCTAATCTATGCAAAAGACCGATGACGAAGTCCGTTACATGTCCCTAATCAAGTCAGGAAGTGACCAGGGCACCAGTCTCTACTTGGTCAGTTCATGAAGACACTGCTTTTGAATGTTAAGACGGTTGCCTCAATCCCGGCTTCCAGCCGCAGGGGGAGGCGCTCCCAGCCCATCGTGGCTGCCTGGGCCCTGCCCTTTCCTGCCTTCTCCAAAGAACTCCACGCGGAGATTGTGCCCGACTCCCCGCCAAGCCGGAGTCCCGCTGAGAACCGTGATGATGCGGCTCAGGGACAGAGCTGCTGCATATGGATTCTGACTTACGGACGCCTGGCTGGCATGAGTTGTGACTATGGAGCTGGCTCTAGAGCAGACCCTCTGTGGTCTTGTCCTCCCTCTCTGAGGGCCCGTCCTTGAGCTCTGACTGTGTCCAGGCTCCCCTTTCCACTTCATCCAGTGCCACCATGGCCCTGAAGTGGCTGGCTGTCCCCTTTAAGGCTCCCCCCCCCCCATCATCCCTTTAACATTTCTAGGAATTCTGGTCTTCAAGTCTTTCTTCCCACCAATGGTGGGAACTTTTGAGCCACGCCCACAGCGTCAGTCACCTTCTGTAAACCAGCAAGGACGCCCAGATCTGTGGCCCTGAGCTCACATTTCCAATTTCATTTGGACATTCGCACCTGAGTATCCCCAAGGCCCTTCTGACCCCACATGCCCAAGAGCAGCGGTTCTCAACCTGTGGGTCACGACCCCTTTGGGGGTCGAACGGCCCTTTCACAGGGGTCGCCTAAGACCATCGGAAAACACATAGATAATTACATATTGTTTTTGTGATTAATCACTATGCTTTAATTATGTTCAATTTGTAACAATGAAAATACATCCTGCATATCAGATATTTACATTATGATTCATAACAGTAGCAACATTACAGTTATGAAGTAGCAACGAAAATAATTTTATGGTTGGGGGTCACCACAACATGAGGAACTGTATTAAAGGGTCGCGGCATTAGGAAGGTTGAGAACCACTGCCCTAGAGGAAAAGTCAATAACTTTTCCCTACATTCACCCTCCCCAAACCAGCTTCTTCTGTTGGCATAGCAACCTCCCCAAACCTGCTTCCTATGTTGGCATAGCAACCAGGCCTAGTGTTCTCCCCCTCAGCCTTCACAGCTCACTTTTGATATTCAGTTAGCAAATTCTCTTTATTCTGTCTGCAAAACTTCTTAATTCCTGCCTTCTTCATCCCACTGCTACTAACTTAAAAGACCTTTGTTAGTGTTCTTTTTCCCTCTAGGATTGCCTTTCTTCCATCCAGGAAGCCCTGTGCTGACAATCACCTGCCATGTGCTGGGCGCTCTGCTATTGCTTTCCATGAATTATCCCATTTAGTCCTGTGACAATTTTGGACGTTGGTGTAATTGCTCCCAGTTTACAGATGAGAAAATGGAGGCTCCAAGAGACCAAGTTCCAGATGCCACTTATAAGTAACAAAGTCTGGATTTCCACCTGGATGGCTGACTGGGCCAGCACCTGGGCTTCCCTCCCTCCCCCTCTGCACTACTGACTGGATTCTCAGTGCTCCCCCCTCCCCCGCCCTCATTCCCCCTCCCCCCCTCTGCCCTCGTCCCCGCCTCCCCCCTCCTGCCACATTCTGCTGCTTATGAGACACTGTCTTTGGTTTTCAGTTGTATAAAGAACATCTTCACTTGCTAATTTATCACTCATCAGGTTGTAGAAAATTAACATTCTCCACATGTTCTCCCCCCCCCCCCCCAATGATCAATTTCTTCAATGGAAACCTGCTTTGTTTACTCTGTAACCCTGATAACTGACAGGATGCTTGCCTGATAGTAGGAACCTCAATAAATGCTTATGGAACAATGGGTTAACCTTAAGGCCCACCAGGTTACTTGGCTGGTTTTGGAGGACAGATGTCTTCAGATTATGAAACACGTTTTTAGAAAGTGGCATGTGACTCTCAGTTATCACTCAGGGAATAGGAATCATCATATTATCTATGGATGCTCCTAAAATGATTTTTTTTAAATGAAAACAATCAGTAAAAACAATGACAATTTTGACCCCAGAGTAATTGAGACCCTTGTGTGGTCTTCACTTTGGGAGCCATCTCTTTGGCTGAAATGCATGTGCAAAGGTCCTGAGGTCAGGGTCAGGCACCCAGCCTGGGAGGAGCATGTGCCTTTTGGACCCAGGCTAGTCAAACAGGCCCCTGCCTCTATGCCCGTCATCTGCCTTCCATTTCCCATTTCCTCCTGGACACAAATTCTGGAGCATTAACCTCTCAGTCCCAAATGCTAAGTTAGGATCCAACCAAAACTCAACTGGCTGAGGCGAACACATGGGCAGATCCAAGACAGAACGCTGGGCCAGGCACAGGGAGGCCCGGGCAGGCCAGTTATTGTAAAGAGAGCCTTACATTGGGGCCTTTTACCTCTGGGTCACGGGTTCAAATCCAGCAAGGCCTGGCCTGACAGAAAATCATTACAGGCTCTATGTCAGGCTGCCTGAGAGATGGAAAATACATTCCTGTCTCCGTCCAGCAGGCAAGTGTCCACATCGCGCTTGGCACTAAGCCGCTCTCGACTCCGTGGAGACAGAGTAGAAGTCATGCGACAGTTGCCCGGGTCCCCGAGGTCAGGCGAGCCTGCATGTCAGCGTTGTCTGCGTGGGGTCTGACAGC